CTCTCCTGCTCTCTGCCTTTCTGCTCTCTGTCTCTCTGTCGTGTCTCTCTCTCTCTCTCTCTCTCGCTCTCTCTCTCTCTCTCTCTCTCTCTCTGTCTGTCTACTCTCTCTCTCTCTTCTCTCTCTCTCTCTCGCATCTGCTCTCTCTCTCTCTCATCTCTCTGCTCTCTCTCTCTCTCTCTCTTCGACATCCCTGCCAAATTGCCAACAGAAAACCAGCCACCAGAGAGAAAAAAACATAATAGGAAATACAGAAATAGGAAAACTTACCTAATTACTTCATAATTGGTGCTAATTTAAACTATTTATAACCGGTATTGACAGAAATTGACAAGATCTGTGCACGATAAAAATAATAATAAAATAAATATGTTGTTAAAATTGTTATTATGGTTGCTAAATTCCATAATAAAACTCATTAATCGACGTAACTTATTCTATATAATATAGATATCTATATAAATATATTATATTCTATGGCGAATATTTAAATTTTATGAAGATAAATGTATAATTAAGTAGAGAAGGGGGATGAGGAGGAGGAGGAGGATGAGGAGAAGGAGGAAGAGGAAGAAGAGGGGGTAAGGAGAAGGAGGAGGAGAAAACAAAGAAGAACTGAGAGAGAAATAAAGAGAGGGTCGAGATTAAAGAGAAGAGTAGGGGGAAAGGAGAGGAAGAAGAAGGCGAGGAAGAAGAAGAAGAAGAAGAAGGAGAAGAATGAGAGGAAGAGGAAGGCAGAATATCCAAGAAGTAGCGGACAGAAGAGGAAGCGGATGACGAGGGTGTTATATGACATATTTCAGCTTCAGCTCTCGTCATCTCTCCCTCACCACCTCCGTTACTTGCTCGCGCTTTTTCTCTTCTTTTAACATTTCCCAATCCACGCCTCATGCATTTATACCACAGCTTTTTCAACTTCTGTTCGATCCCTCCCATTATTTAACTGCTCCTCCCCATACTCCTCCACATGAACTACTGCTGCTCCTCCCACCCATCCGTTTTTCCTCTCCCTTCCCCGCCGCCTTACTTGTCTTTCTCTCTCTCTCTCTCTACACCGCCTCACTTATGTCTTCCTCTCTCTCTCTCTCTCCCTATCTGCTCCTCCGCCACATCACCTCTGTCCCTTCCTCCCATGCTCCAACTCCTCCCCTCCTCTTCTTTCCCTTTCCACCACCACTCACTTCTGCCTTCGCTTCCCATGCTCCACACTCCTCCCCTCCTCTCCTTTCTCCTCCACCACCACTTCACTTCTGTCCCTCCCTCCCATGCTCCAACTCCTCCCCCTCCTCTCCTTTCTCCCCCACCACACTTCACTCTGTCCCTCCCTCCCATGCTCCAACTTCTCCCTCCTCTCCCCCCCCCCTCTCCTCCACACCACTTCACTTCTGTCCCTCCCTCCCATGCTCCAACTCCTCCCCCTCCTCTCCTTTCTCCTCCACCACCACTTCACCTCTGTCCCCCCTGCCCATGCTCCAAACTTCCTCCCCTCTCTCCTTCTCCCCCACCACAGCTGAAATTCACTGCTTACGTTCATAATAGCGCTCCTAAACTCCTATGATGCGCGCACAACACATACAACATATTTGTCATGGAGACTCTTCCTATGACAAATAGTGTGATAGGAGAGCGTATATTGCGTATTTCGGATGTCATAAGCTGCTAGCAGAATAGGCTGAGAGATAGAAGAATGGATACACCATGCATTCAGAGACGGATGTGGACGTGGCGTGACAGTGTGGCGGGCTGCGTTCGTGTTAGCTAACATTGCTGAAGCTGACACAATGTTGCGAGAGACTATATATACGGTGTAGTAGAAGAAGGAAGAAGGCGGGAGACTAGGACAAGCGAGAGTGTGGGTCCGTATGCCTTTATGCGATGAACAGTGCGGAGGGGAGAGGGAGGGGAGGGAGAGAGCAGAAAAAACAGGGGAGGCGGGGAGGGGGAGCGGCGCGCGGAGAGGGGGGAAGAGAGAAGCCGAGAGAGAAGAGAGTGAGAGAGAGAGCGGATAGAGAGTGAGTGAGAGGAGTTATTATATATATATATATATATAATTAGCGTGATTTCTAATATGAGTTTTTACTATAAGGCCTTTGCGTCTGCATCATCATCCTCGGTCAATCATCAACATCAATCATCATCGTCGTCATCATCATCGTCATTAGCGTCAATCATCGTCATCATTAGGCTCTTCATCATCATCAACAATCATCATTCATCGTCGTTATCATCATCTCATTATCGTCAATCATCGTCATCTCAAACATCATCAAACGATCACAACATTCATCTATCATCGTCATCATTCGTCGTGCATCATCGTCGTGCCACGTTTATCCTTTTACACCATCCGCGGGTTATGTTCTGACTATTTAAAGCTAAATCACACCATCGATAACAACGAAAGAAGACCGCCATGAGAGTATACCGCCAGTGAAAAAAATATGGCGGGACAAATATGCGATGAAATATACTCGTATGGCCCCAACTTAGGATATAACAAAACGAAATAAAACATCGACCAGAACACAATCATGACACATGGAAATCGGTTCAGAATTATGCGATGGAAAATGCTGAAATAACTCCAATAGGATGGTGTTGTGTCCGTATGTGTGCTTGTCAAGACGTATGATCACTAATTTCCCTACAGAGCAATTATTCATTACAGAGCATAATATACACATAGGAAACTCTTTATAGCATTGAGTATTGATACATAGTTTCATTATTATACATAACAGGAATTTATAAAGGTTTGCCGAATGTCCATATCCGCGTTGATGGCCGCCAGGATTTGCTTCAATAAGCCTTATCCCACCAAAAGCACAGGATACGAATCTTTCCAGCCTCCTTGTCACGATGGCCTTAATGACAATTAGCAAATTGAATTATCTTTCATTACACACGCTGCACCATAACCCTGTCCACTTACCACAGTGTGCCAGCGCACCCCGCACACACCGCACGCATATACCCGCACGACACCCCACAACCACACGCATCACACACGTCGTTACAGGGTCTACCCACAACACACACACACCAGACCAGGCACACACGACAACAGCCACACGACACCACACACAACAACACACACACACACACACACACACACACACACACACACAACACACACCACACACACGCATACAACACGTGTAAGTAATACACATCACACACACACGCACAGCACAACACACACACACACACACCACACACACACAACAACGACACGACACACAAACTCACACACCCACACACACACACACACACACACACCATACACACCACACGAACACGCACACAAACTCACACATACAACACACACACCACACTACACAACACACACACACCACACACACACACAACCATCACAACACACACAAAACACACACGCGCGCACGCCGACGCACGCACCACGCACGCACGACACTCACGCACGCAGCACGCACGCAGGCCACACAACGCACACGACACACACACACCACACACCACACAGCACACACACACCAAGAGAACTTTCGGCTAAATTCAAGATCACGGACTCCCCGCTGACACCGCCTGGCCAACCGCGCGTCTTTGCCATTCAACAATGCGTCGACGACACTCGATTTGTCGCAAAACAATTTAAGAAACGCGCTCGCGACGAATTAAACAATCACAAGCACGAGACGATGATAGCTCTTGATCATTCCGCCCGTTGGTCGGAGATGAGGCAGGGAGGAGGGGTGAGGGGAAGCGGAGGAGGGGGAGGGAGGCAGGGAGGGAGGGGGGGATGATGATGATGGAGGAGAGGAGGGTTCGTTTATAAGACAGGGGAAGTGACAGCGGGTGGCCCTCCCCTCCTCTCTCTCTCTCTCTCCCTCTGTCCCTCTCTCTCGCGCACACATGTGGCTCGTGGCGACAGTGACACAACATTGCGAGAGACTATAGGATAAAGAGAAAGAGAGAGGCAGCGGTAAGAGTCAGAGAAAGTGAGAGTAGTGGTCAGTTGTGAGACAGGACGCAGTGGGAGAGAGAGGCAGAGTGGTCAAGCGACGGACAGCGAGAGCGCAAGCAATCATGGCAACTACGGTAAGCGCTTAATATAGTAAAGCTTATTACTAATTATAATTATTAAAGCTCATATTAACAGTTTATATATTTATTTTTGCTATTAATAATCAACGTATAGAAAATAATAAAAATGCATTAATAAAGGCTGCATTTACGTTTATTAACGCTGCATTAAAGTTATATATATATTTGAAAAAAGAAACATTCTTTTTTTAAATATTAAAAACTTTTCTACCCATAACTTTTCTACTATATATATATATACATATATATATATGGATGAAAAGGTTTCATTGACTTTTATCTTATTATATCTAGTGACTTTAATTTCATATACATTAACGAATGCCGCATGTGCTATACCTTTTTACAGAACCAAGAATATATAACAAAAATGAGTATATATACATGACTTTCTAGCTATAATTGAATTAACGAGTGAAACGGTGATACGTGTTGCGTTTGTGGATGCAACTATTTATAAATTAATGGACAAAAAGTCACTATAACCACTCTATTTAGATATCAGATTCAAATTTAGGTTTATCGCGTAGAAAACGTATACGTGTACTGTGACGGACAGATTATGATTATTTAATTTAATTATTACGTTATATATATAGTATTAGTATATGTATTATTATAGGTACTATTACAGGAGTCAATGAATAGAGCTCTGAGATGTAATATGTGATAGGTAGTTAATATTTCAACCATTCTTCGCTACAGACTTTACTTTATTCGCCGCTCTATTTCTCTGTCTTACAGCAGCCATCGAACAGACGTCCCGCCTCCAGCCTTTACGATCTGAATTGTGCACCAACCTTACTCGCGCACACCGACTTGGAGGGTAGCCGCGTGTACGCACACGCGAGCGTGCACGCACACGCGGGCGTGCACGCACACGCATGCTCGGAGACCGGCCCCGTGTACGCACACGCACACGCAGGCGCACCTAGCAGTCCTGCGTACGCGCACGCAAGCGTGCACGCACACGCAGACGTGCACGCACACGCGACCGTGTTGCGTCACGTGGACCTGCGCGCGTACGACTGCACGCAATCCAACATGGCCGCCACCAACAAGGTCACCGAGGTAAAAAAATCAAGGTCAGATGACGGAGAACCGCCTACCGGCGACAGCGGGAAGTCGCACCGGAAGAGATTCAACTACAGGAGGCATCCCAAGCCGCCGTTCTCCTACCTCGGGCTGATGGTGACGGCGATCCAGAGCTCTCCATCGGGAAAATTAACCCTTTCCGGTATACATCGCGCCCTGGAGAACATGTTTCCGTTTTTCAAGTGCGAGTATTCTGGATGGAAAGATTCCGTTCGGCACAACCTGTCGCTCAACAAATGCTTCGTTAAGGTTCTGAAAGACGAGAGCAGACCAAACGGAAAGGTATGTAGCCTCAGGCGTGTCTCGATCACAGCACTTAAATTGACTACGTCACGAATTTGCGTGTATATTTGTAAACGTTTTGTTGCCATTTTTTACATTAAAAATAAGTACTAACGGGACTAAATGTATCCTCAAATTCTTACCTGATAAGATTGTTTCTCAACTAGTAAAAAATCCAAAAAACTTCGGCGATTTGTTATCATATGATCCTGACATTAATTGCTTGCTATGGGCTATGTATGGGTCACGAGTGTATGTTTACATCGAACAATAAAGTAAAATATGAAGTATAATGCAGCAATTTAACCATAAAAAGTGAACAGAATTACTTACATTTTGTGAAAAAGTGGAAATATTTTCCAACTTTTACTATTTAGGGTGACGTAATCACTTTAACGAAGAAGTTTGGGCTCAGGAAAATCTAAGTTTGATTTTCAGGCTAAGCAAGTCTAGGCAAGGCTTCAAAGAAAGGCTAGTTTTAACATTTAAATTAACATTCTCTCACGAGGCTCATTTCTCCACTGGATCATTGACATTCGTAAGGCACTCACGGCACACACGCACGCACGCACGCACGCATGCACGCACAGACACACACACACACGCGCGCGCACAAACACGCACGCACGCACAAACACGCACGCACGCACAAACACACACGCACGCACGTACGCGCACACACACACACACACACACACGCGCATGCACGCACGCACACACACACACACACGCACACACG